TTTGTTTCTTATATTTTGAAGCTCTGTTGTTAAGTGCATGTACATTCAATGTTTTCATGGTTTCTTGATGAATTCCTTATTTTTCTCTCTAAAGTGCCTCTGTTTATCTCTGATCAACGCTATTTTACCTTCTCCTCACTTATAGTCAAACAATCTGTTTTTATGCCCACAGTTTTTTCATGACTTAGTTTTTCAAGACTTTACTTTCAGTTGTACCAGTGGCTTTCTTTTCATTTTCTTTCTTTTGTTTATCTCTTTTATTTCAGCATATTCATGGGGGTACCAAGAGTTAAGAGTTAACATACTATGTCATGGCTCTCTCCGTTGAGCCGGAGTCACGCGGACCCATTCCCAACAACATGTGCGCATCTTACTCATTTGTTTGTATACACTCCATCCCCTCTTCCTTCCGCGGGCGCCGCACCTGCTCAACACCCCTGAAACAGTTTTATCCTATATGTCCACCTGAGGCGTTGATCCGTAATACCAATTGCTGGTGATACCATGTGGGTGCTTGGCTTTTTCCCACTTCCCTTCGAGAGAACGTTACGTAGCCGGTTCACAGCCCGATATGCCAGAAACAGAGTGACTCTATCACCATTGTTTCTTAAGCTGACACGTAACTCCAGTATACCATGTACCACATCTTTAGCTACATCCACCTCACTGAATTCTGATGGCACTCCTGGGTTGTTTCCACACGTTTTGCAATTGGAATGTGCTGTATAAACATTCGACGTGCCAGGTGTCGTTTTGCATAAAGTGACTTTTGATTTTTCGTAACACCAGTAAGTCGGATTGCTGATCAAATGGTAGATCCTACGTGTGTATCCTTAAGCGTATCTCCTATTCGCTTCCACACGGGGTGAAACTAGTTTCGCCGTCCCACCCAGCAAGCTGTAGAGTGTTCCTATCTCCAGGCATCCATGGGCCAACCATTTCCTTCTCTTGGGACTGTTAACTAAAGGCTTCCGCCTCACTGGAGATCAAGGATATCTCATTGCAGTTGTTGATGGGGTGCATTTCCCTGATGATTAGAGATGTTGAGCATTTTCTCATGATGTCTTGCTCCTGACATTATTCTGTATGTCTTCTGAGAAGTTTCTGTTCATGACCGTTGCCCATCTTGATAGGGTTTGTGTGATTCTTCCCTGCGATGATTTCCTGACGCTTCTAAATAAATTACTACGTTACCCCTGTATGCGGCTGGTGTGCCTTGCGAAAATGTTCTCCCCATTCTGCTGGGTTCTGTTCTCTCTGACGTTTTCTTTGGCTGTCAGAAGCTTCTTTAATTGACAGGTCCCTTTAACTGTATTTGTTGCAATCAGAGTATAAACACCCATCCTCATATAGCCCAACTAATCTCGACAAGAGGCAGCAAAAACATCACACTCGGGGAAAAGAGAATCCTTATTCAATAAATGGTGCTGGGAAACAAGATAGCCACACGTAACAGCTGGAATAGGACCCACGACCTTGTCACCGTCTCAAGACAAAAATCAACATCACGCTGAGTACAACTCCTGAAACTTAGACGTGCTGAACTCATTCGAACCTTAGAGCCACACACATTCGAAGGATAGCTATCTAGACACTTCGCGCACAGCAGCTTTCATCCGCTAGCAAGCACCCCCAAAGCCAATCATGGATTGCTATTTCTCAAAGTGTCAGTTGCTCTTTTCAAATGCTTTATGGATGCACCTGGCCTAATGTAGTCAATAAAGTAGCCCTTGATCAAATGCAAATCCCCTTATACTTTTAATTTTACCCTCCATTTGTGTTAAGCATTTTTAATATATTCTTCAGGATAGTCCTTACCACTTTGAATCAATTCTTATATTTCCTAAAGGATTATTATCCTCTACGTCTCTATACTGGTTGCCCTTCTTTCTTTATGTCTTATAGAGAATACCATGAGATACAATATTTTCGCTTAACTGTTTACCGTGAACTATGCTTAAGCTACTCCCTTGGATATGTTGTAGATTAAACTGTGTTACAGGGTTGCTTTTCTTTTTCTTTTTGATGTCATACTTTCTCTTCATTCGCTCACAGGGGGTTATCTCTTTATATGCCGACACTCTCATTGATCGTGTTGTATGGTTCGTGCTCCATATACATACGTTGCATGTCTTCTTAAAGCTGAGTCTTTCTCTATATACTTTGGTTTTCAGGAAGTTTTTCTTCATCTATGTAATTATCTGTTGTTTATCTGCCTGTATCACCTCTTTACGCATCACAACTCTCAACTCATGAAACCTCTCTCAGCTCACTCTACCACTATATTTCACTTTTGTATGCATTCATAGGTCGAACTGTCTGCTGTTTTGCTCGTCTCAGCTTTTCTTTATTTGTCTGAGGCGCTCACCGCACCTTTTTTTCTCTTATCTCCGTTTCATTCAACGCTCATCCACCTTTCTCCTGACTGGGCCATCTTCTGGTAAGGCATTTAATGATTTCTTTCATATTTTATAGGAGCATTGTGCACTTTTAATTTGGTTCCACAGCTTCTCTCTAATTCCAACTATCCAGGAGTGAACAGGCTTAAGCAGGGCGACGTACGCAATGCAGCAAGACCCTCATCTCTAAACGACAAAGTTTTCTTTATACCCAGTCGCGCTGGCGTTCGCACCTGAGTTACAGCTACTCTACGAATGCCCTGAGGTTGAGGATCACTTGAACTCACGCGAGTTCCAAGCTGGAGCGACTCGAGGTATGACTTTACTCATACTGGCACCAGAGCCAGACTCCCCCTCACTCTTAAAACAACATATACCTCTCATTCCGACACTGCCCATTTCTGTTGTCTCTTCAATCATTTGTGAAGATGACAGTTCTTCCATCTGATTCCGTAGTCTCACCTACAACGACACACGTTCTATACACTTCTCTCCATCTGTCAGTCTGCAAGTCGAGACCACTCTTTCCATTCTTTAAAAATCCTTACTTGCTCCTTCATCATCTCTAACCGGCTACTAACCCACCACAACCCACACGTTGAATATTCCTACTTCTTGCAGCACTCCCATTACACATTTTCATTAACTTTCCATCTACTACGTTTATACAAAAGGGAAGTCAGAGGGAGTCAGCAGTTACTTTCATTTTGTTCACCAATACGATCAATTTATTGTAATCTTTCTATTTCTCGTTCGACTGCTGCTCCTCTCTTTCTCTTCCCTCCGGTTATCAGCAATCTTATCTACCGATGGACTGTCTTGGCACTGATTTCTGTTAGGTAGAGTTTTGGTCCAAAATGTTGTAACTCGACATATAGTTGTATCACGCTTGTAAAAATCTCGATTCATCTTTATTTTTCAAACTATGAGTCCTCTGAGCCCTCACCAGTCCCTTCTTCGCATACACATTGGTGTGTGTGTGTGTGTGTGTGTGTTTGTCTGTTGGGTTCTGCTCTCGTGTGTCGCTGCTGTGCATCGTGTGGGAGGCTGTCTAAATATCAGTCAGCAACCTGGCGTTTTGTCACTTTCTTTCCTCCTCGTTTTATCAGGGTGCAGTCTGAGGAGGTTAGGTACGGTCTGTTCCACCTACTGAGTACCCCCCCCTAGCTGAAGCTGTTGCTTCAGTAACTCCTCTCTGATAATCTGCCCCACAAATTCAAGCCACCTGAGACTCTCTGCTCTCCAGTTTCTGTCTCTTCACTTTAACAAGACGATTCACGCTTTGCCTTGTTTCCCCTTCTTGTGTGGTGGTTTGGAAAGTGTCTCCAGGAATAATTATAGGGTTTGTTAAATTTTCATTTACTATCTCAAGGATCACATTTATGTGCTTGATTAGTTCCAATATCTAAAAGCTGTGTTTTATATATTTTTGTACTTTTGTTTGTCATTGTTTATTATGGAAAAGCTGGTTCAATACTAGTTAGTCAAGAATAGAAGATTCTATCTATATTTGTTGAAATGATCATTGTTGTTAATTACAACCACATTTAGTATGGCATAAAATAGGCATAAATAATTCACAGTTATAAACAATATGCTTCATTTAGAAAACTAGGCACAGTATTTCTGGAATAATTCCATATTTCACATTTATATTCAAATAAAATTTGGGTGATTTTTACAGCTATTTTCCCACTTGGTTTTTAAAACTTCATGAAATGTATGAAGACATTTAATCACATATATTATTTTTATTTTGAAGAGAGATTTTGATAGCATATACTGAAGGTCAAACTGTAAAATAAAATTGTCAAAGTGTTTATTTTTTAAATTTAATTTGGATAAATACCAATGCATTAAGATTTTAAGAGAAAGAAAACAGAATATTATATCTTATTGAACTCGTTGAGTATTTTGATGATGATTTCCATAAATTATCTTCAAAAATTCTCATTTATAACTAGTACAGTATTGTAATGTAGGAAACTAGAAGCTATTGTGGCAAGTTTTCAGCCTTATCATTTTTGAGCATAATATCCTATATTTGCAGTTAGGATGTGAAAGTTAAACCATGTCAAGATAGTTTATAAAGATGAAAAAATTTAATCAATAAGTAATTACATTCAACGGTTATGCTACAAGGTCAACTCAATAGCACATTCTGTCATTTATTGTTTCTATACTGATTTGAACTACTCTCAAATCTTTAAATGTGCCTCTTCATTTTTTGAACTTCGTTATGAAACAAGGTTTTGGGGGAATTTTTCATAAACAACTAGCCCTCTAGTCTGGGTTGAATTTCTGGTTTTTGTACACTCATGGAGTTCCCTGTACATGTTTCAAAAATGGCACTTAATTAAAATAATTATAATAACCTTTTGACTTCTTTGTTTTTTCATTTCATTTTAAATCCTATGAAACCATGACTGGTATATTATTTATCTCTAGTACCCATTAGTACAGAATAAATATAAATACTTTTTCTTAAATAATAAAAATACTTCCATATTCAAAATTGCATTAAAATATTATTCTAGTAGGAATAGCAATATTAGCTAAATGATGAGACGCTAACACTATATTTTGTGTCTTCTATTACAGGCTCTTAAATCTGATCTACAATGGAAAAATTTCTTTTTTATTTGTTTTTCATTGGCATAGCAGTGAGAGCTCAGATCTGTCCAAAGCGTTGTGTCTGTCAAATTTTGTCTCCTAATCTTGCAACCCTTTGTGCCAAGAAAGGGCTTTTATTTGTTCCACCAAACATTGACAGAAGAACTGTGGAACTGCGGTTGGCAGACAATTTTGTTACAAATATTAAAAGGAAAGATTTTGCCAACATGACTAGCTTGGTGGACCTGACACTATCCAGGAATACAATAAGTTTTATTACACCTCATGCATTTGCTGACCTACGAAATTTGAGGGCTTTGCATTTGAATAGCAACAGATTGACTAAAATTACAAATGATATGTTCAGTGGTCTTTCCAATCTCCATCATTTGATATTGAACAACAATCAGCTGACTTTAATTTCTTCTACAGCATTTGATGATGTATTTGCCCTTGAGGAGCTGGATCTGTCATATAATAATCTAGAAACCATTCCTTGGGATGCTGTTGAGAAGATGGTTAGCTTGCACACCCTTAGTCTGGATCACAATATGATTGACAACATTCCCAAGGGGACTTTCTCCCACTTACACAAGATGACTCGGTTAGACGTAACATCAAATAAATTGCAGAAGCTACCACCTGATCCTCTCTTTCAGCGAGCTCAGGTACTAGCAACCTCAGGAATCATAAGCCCATCTACTTTTGCATTAAGTTTTGGTGGAAACCCTTTGCATTGCAATTGTGAATTGTTGTGGTTGAGGCGTCTGTCCAGAGAAGATGACCTAGAGACCTGTGCTTCTCCTGCACTTTTAACTGGACGCTACTTTTGGTCAATTCCCGAGGAAGAGTTTTTGTGTGAGCCTCCTCTCATTACACGTCACACGCATGAAATGAGAGTCCTGGAGGGTCAAAGGGCAACACTGAGGTGCAAAGCCAGGGGAGACCCTGAACCTGCAATTCACTGGATTTCCCCTGAAGGGAAGCTTATTTCAAATGCAACAAGATCTCTGGTGTATGATAATGGAACACTTGACATTCTTATAACAACTGTAAAGGATACAGGTGCTTTTACCTGCATTGCTTCCAATCCTGCTGGCGAAGCAACACAAACAGTGGATCTTCATATAATTAAGCTCCCTCACTTACTAAACAGTACAAACCATATACATGAGCCTGATCCCGGTTCTTCAGATATCTCAACTTCTACCAAGTCAGGGTCTAATGCAAGCAGTAGTAATGGTGATACTAAAATGAGTCAAGATAAAATTGTGGTGGCAGAGGCAACATCATCAACGGCACTGCTTAAATTCAATTTTCAAAGAAATATCCCTGGGATACGTATGTTTCAAATCCAGTACAATGGTACTTTTGATGACACCCTTGTTTACAGGTAAGAAAAATTAAGCAACTTTGTTTACTTACCATGCATCTTAATGTAGGGCTTATTAATGGACTACTGATTTTTTTTAATTGACAGTACTTCTGTGTTGTAATTATAGCACTCCATTTTTAAAAATGTATAATGTAAGGTTTGTAAAAGGTGGTGAATACCTGTGGGGAAATATTTTGAATGATGCTGTTTATAGAGAGTTTAAACTTATATTTAATATTATGCTGACTTAACGTTTTGTTCCCCTCATCTAAGAGATGTGACTATCAGAGAACAAGACTGATTTATTTTAAATATTCAAAAACATACCAGAATTTACACATCCACACGAGTGTTCTTTCCTTCAAGGAAGTCACGTTGGGAAGCTATACCGTTATCCCAATGATGCTGCCATTGCTCAAAGCACTTTTGGAATTATCTTTAGAACCTTCATCACACTATTTTGAATATCCTCAGTGGTGGCAAATCTTCGTCTTTTGAGGGTGAATTTGAATTTTGGAAACAAGCAAAAGCCATTTGGAGCCAAGTCTTGTGAATAAGGTGGGTGATCAAAGATGGGTATTGCCATTTATGGTCAAAAATAGGATGTAACTATAAAATAATGAGACTGATTTTCTGAGTGATGAGTATGTGTGGTGTGTGTGTGTGTGTGTGTGTGTGTGCGTGTGTGTGTATGCTCTATCTCATGTGCACCGGTTCTTAAGACAGTTCCAAAGAGAAAGTTTACAAATATTTTGAGCAGTGAAAGTATCACTGGAGTTAAGTATGTAATCTCCAGGCAAGTGTAATGATGGATAATTTGCATCTGTTAAAGAATTTCTGGTATGTTTTTCTAAAGTTCAGCCTCATTGATTTATAGTCACATCTTGTCCAATTTTCAGTTGGAAATACACAGTTTTATTCCTTCATATAATTTCATTTGTTGTAGATTATTTTATTACCCCTAGGAAATAATATAAAATCATGGTTTTGATGGGGTTTTTTTTGGTCTTGAAGCTTTTCAGAAATCAGATCAGTTCAGTTCTTATATACCCAGGTGAATTCTTGAATATAATTTTATTTCACTCACATATGTAAATGAGAGTAATTTTAAAATATAAGCGTGGGCTAGTAGGAAAAAACAAAACTATCGTAGCTGCAATATGATCAATCCTGGGCAAGGTTCTACTTGGCTGAGTTTTAATTTTCTAATTGTTGTAAGGAAGAGATTAGACTAAATATTATGTAATATTCCTCTAATCACTAAATATATGGGGATATATACTACATGTATATTAGCATAAGGTAGTTTGCTTTTGTCATATCAAGCTCTTCACATAATCTCTGTGATATTTAATCTGTTGTAAAGGAAAAGTGCCTATGCCCACCCCTCACCTTTCTGTAGCTGCTGAACTGTCTATATATTTTAAGCATTAGCTCTGTGAAATAAGTCAGGTTTTATTTTCCAAATACCAAGATTTTAATCCTGCAACGATAAGTAAATTTTATGTGACCTTGAATAAATTGCTTGAATCTATGACCCTAATTTTTGTCATATGTGAAATAGTGATAATGCCTGTCTCATAAGATCATTGTAAAGATTAATTGTTAATGTATTTGAAGTTCTTAGTAATACCTGGCATTTGTCACGCACTCTGCTAAATGGTGGTGATTTCAGTCCCAATTATATAATTATTCTAACTCTGAACTGAAAGTCAGGACACATAGTTTAGGCTCTATTACCAAATTTTGAAATTTCTACAACTCACTTTCAGAGAAGAAAATATGGTTTCAAATCTTTTTTTTCTAATTAATTTTTATTTAGAACATATTTAGTCGCAACTGAAAAAAAAAGTTAGAAAATAGCCATCCACAAAAACCTTTTAGAATGAAATGGATTCATAGATGTCTGCAAACTTTCTTTAAATTTTAGAAATTGTGTTCTGATGAAAATTTGAATTAAGACACAGTGGGACAAGGGATTTAAGATCCGGTCAACAACCTTCCCTCGTTCAAATGTCTAGGCTAATATTATTCATGTATGTACTTTTCATCATCTTCATTTATACATAAAAGCATACAGGGGACCAAGTATTAAAGGCGTTAGAAAAGGATGAGTCTGTAAATAAAACACTTCAATATTATTATTTATCTTAATTTTATTAAGAAAGGTTTAGTGGATACCATTCCAAACAGGCTTAATACTGATTTGGAGAATAAATGCTCTGGAACACTTTTCCATTCTGATTTCTAATGTTCTTGTCAGTGTTTTCACTTCCTTCAAATTGGCTTTTAGTCATAGAGGTGTTGTAAGTGCTAAGTGGATTTGTTTAGTAGTCAGATAATGTCACGCTCACACCTTTCAAAAGCAATTTGTCAAAAATAATTTTTTTAGCAGTGGCTTTTATTTGGAGTTCTACTTTGCCAAGCAATGTAATTAGTAAGCTTGTCAAGGCATAGTACAGGCACCATTATTATAATGTAGACTCCAACAATGAATTTTAGTCATTTTAACTGGGTAAATATAAGATTAGATCATTCTCCCATATTTCATATCTGTTATAAATGTGCTTGTCTTAATGAATACTAAAATGAGACAGAACTAAGGACATAATATAATGACTTTGTGTGTAAATGTTTTATTTTGTTTTAAATATTAACACAAATTCCATTGTCCTTCAGAATGATACCTCCTACGAGCAAAACATTTCTGGTCAATAATCTGGCTGCTGGAACTATGTATGACTTATGTGTCTTGGCCATATATGACGATGGCATCACTTCCCTCACTGCCACAAGAGTCGTGGGTTGCATCCAGTTTACTACGGAACAGGATTATGTGCGTTGCCATTTCATGCAGTCCCAGTTTTTGGGAGGCACCATGATTATTATTATTGGGGGAATAATTGTAGCATCTGTGCTGGTTTTCATCATCATTCTAATGATCCGGTATAAGGTTTGTAACAATAATGGGCAACACAAGGTTACCAAGGTTAGCAATGTTTATTCTCAAACTAATGGGGCTCAGATTCAAGGCTGCAGTGTAACACTGCCCCAGTCCATGTCCAAACAAGCTGTGGGACATGAAGAGAATGCCCAGTGTTGTAAAGCTGCCAGTGACAATGTGATTCAATCTTCAGAAACTTGTTCCAGTCAGGACTCCTCTACCACTACCTCTGCTTTGCCTCCTTCTTGGACTTCAAGCACTTCTGTGTCCCAAAAGCAGAAAAGAAAGACTAGCACAAAGCCAAGTACCGAACCACAGAATGAAGCTGTCACAAATGTTGAGTCCCAAAACACTAACAGGAACAACTCAACTGCATTGCAGTTAGCTAGCCGACCTCCTGATTCCACCACAGAGGAGCCCTCATCTAAAAGAGCACATACAAAGCCAAGTAAGTTTCTCACTTTGCCTGCTGAGAGATCCAGAGCAAGGCACAGGTACTCCCTGAATGGAGAATTAAAAGAATACTATTGTTATATTAACTCACCGAACACATGTGGACTATTTTCTAAAAGAAGCATGTCTATGAATGGGATGTTAATTCAGTCCAACAGTTGTGATGGTCATAGTGGAAAAGCAACTCTTTCAAATTCTGAGTGGATATTGGAAAGCTCTGTGTAATCTATATTTCTTTTAAATGAAAAATCAGTTTGAGAACTCACATGGGCAATTGGAATTTGTAATTCCAGTCTTGTCTCTCTGATACATGGCTAATAGAGCCCAGGTTGTGTATAAATCTTCTAGGGTATATATTTCAACATATGTATATATATATGTTGGAAGGTAACATCAATAAAATGGTTAAGGGGAAAAAAAAGCATGAGATAGCAGCAGTGCCTTTCCCTATGCTAGGACCAACTTCTAGGTTCTGCAACAGCAGATCACAAAATGGAAGCTGTCATAGGAAAAAAAAAAAGTCTTACATAAAAATGATATTTTCTCCAATTTTACAAAGGACCACCTATGGATAATTGGTATTTTTTAATGAATAGACTGACTATTTTCTTTCAATGGCAATGGTTTTGCCTTTGTTTTTAGGAAAATGTTGTAGAGAAAACCCCATGTTGTTTTGTTATTTAAAACATAATAGTCAATTAGTATACCCAGACAATAATAAAATCAATATCTTTCTAAACAACATCCTTGGTTCAGGTGCCTTAACAGTTCTAAGATATTTCTAATCCATGACACAGTTATTTTCAGTGGAAAGAAGAAAATGGCATTTATTTTTCATTTATCAAAAATTCCAATTAGTTTTAAGTCACAGACCACAATTCCGTATGCATCTACATGGACATATGAAAGTGTTTTCATTCATTTAATACACATTAGCTGAGTGAATGAATTTTATATGGCTCTTAATGCAAGTTAAAGAGGGAGACAAAAATACAAGACTTCTCTTGTATCAAAGGGGTGCTCATTTTTATCACCAACTAAAATTTAAAAAAAAACTAAAAACTTCTAATGGAGTTCTCATTACATTTTTAAGTGATATAAAGTCATTGCTCATTAACCAGATAGTGGCTTTTTTCTTTTTTGCACTATACTTCTGCATTTGAATGTTTCTCTCTTAAAGTAAATGCATTTATTATTCTAACCAAAACCTGTGACAAATTTAATTAAAAATCATGCAGCTCAGTGAGAATGCATGGTTTTACAAAAGAATTTTAAATTTAGTCAGAAAATATTGTTCCTTGATAATACGGTATTCTTGGAAATTCATTATAATCAAGGTCTATAGATAAATGTTCGTATCTACTTGTTGAAAACTTAATTATATGCTAACTTGATATTTTACTGGAGATTCATAAGTGGGGTTAACGTGAAGTGTGTTTTGTTTTGTTTTGAGAATAAGGCTCATGTGAGAACTTAGACACATTACCTTACACAAAAGAACATGAAATTTTAGCCATAATAAGATATACTTTCCTGTCTTCTGTAAATTACTACCTGGGAGTAAGTTAAACAACAGTAAAAGTTTATTAACTCTTTCAGATCACTTGAAATACCATTTAAAGCACAGATGAGGAATGTTGAATCATTAGTTTCCGTCTTCTAGAAGCATATAAACATTTATATAAGTTAATTTTAACTTGACAGAGGAACATCTTATCATATGAGATTTATCATGATGTTATTCAATCGAGTGTAAGATTAAAGCAGTTAGTGATTACGTTCAGTGCCAGTCTTAAAAAAATGTCCCATGGGCTTTTATTATCTTAGGCATTTACTAAATCACTTCTCTGCTCTGCTTCCCTTTCTGAAAAGTTTGTTTTTCACATTTGCAAAGCCTAATCACCATTCATTGTTTAGGTCTCTAGTTCCTGTGACGAGTAAATGAGATCACATGTGTAGGTAATAGTTTATGAAATCTAAGCACTACTCAGAGTGAAGTGTATTTTCAATACTATTACGGTAATACTGGTCTAATCCCAACTAAACATTTTTAATTAACATCAATTACATAATTCTTCACAAGGTGCTGATTGTCAAAAGCCTATTACTTTTCCCTTCCTAGATTTATCAGCACAGTATTAAAAAATCTTGAATATACAAAAGCTTTCAAAATTTAATGCTTAACGAAATGAATCTACAAAGAGAAAATTTTTGGAATTATGAAGGTTGTGATCAAGGATAAAAGGCTCTGAATTCATGCAACATATGGAGCAGCTTAGCATATCTATTCCAATCTATGAAGGAACTTATTTTGTATTTCTCAGTGGCTTGTGTTTGTTAAAATTAATGCCCTGCTTATGTTCCTAATGAAACTTTAATTAAATATCTTTTATTTCTTATAGATATTTAAAACCATGATATCTAAAAATGTGAAATTTATTTTGACTATAGCTATTGAAAATAATTTAATTTTTACTAATTTGATCAGACCATTTTCAGGGTATTTAAACCAAATGCTTGAACAACTTGTTCTTTAAAATGATAGGTGAATTTCTGACCTGTGTTTGTCTTTTAAAAAGTTTATATTTTGAGAAATTAACAAAATATGGTCTTATTAAGATGGTAAAATGGTTTTTGTATTTGTTTATAAATATATGAAGAATTATTTGCATAGAGCAGTTGCAGTATGAAATGACTGAAAAATAAATCTGTGGGAAAATTGGGGATAATATTACTTATTATAATGTCTGAAACACAATAGTTGCTTAGATGAGTGAATGAGTAAATTAATAGATAGTCAGCAAGAGAGGTGTGGAAATGAAAATTTTGATTAATTAGCACAATAGAGATTTGTGATCTGGATATTATATTATAAGGTAGAAATTCTCTGTCGTTTTCTTGTTTTTCTTTCTGCCATTTATTGAATTTATCATTTAAACAGCCATGTATATGTGATCTGAAGCATGTGGTTTGTTGTTTGTTGTTGCTGACTATATGCAGATTATATATATCATTTTTACTCCCTTGTTCTTAATTTTTTTTTCATTTTAGCCATGTTACATTATGGTTTCAGCATGTTCAATGTGAAAACAAACTAACAAAGTACTATGTTAGCATAGCTATTCCAAGCATGTTTTAAGCATGTTTTAAAAGGTATTTTCTTCAAACATTTTTTTAAAAAGCGTGTTCTTGTATTGTTTTTGTTCCTTTTGAATAACTGTCCCCTAATTTAACATACCAAACTGCTATTTATTACAGGAGCATCATAGAGGGATAATGAAGATTTAAAGCTACCTCAAAATTCTAAGAAGCAGCAAATTTTAGTTTGATGAATATTATTTATATTTAGTCTAAAAATATACAAATATATTAAATACAATTTAAATTAGATACAGTAAGACCCACATTGTGGCCAATTTATGTCCTATTTTTTATTTTCAACCATGAATGGAGTCAGTGGAGTTCCAAATAAGCTATTTTATCTTTAAAACAGATGATTTTACTTGGTTTTAAAATATATTTTACCTGGTAAATATATTTTATTTTAAAAAGTTTTACAATGTAAGTTTTAAATTATTTTGACAAATCCCTAAA